ACGGCTCTGATGAGGTGGACGTGAGACCAGCTCCTCCCTTGCGTGAAGCCAGCAGCTGCAGTTTTGTGTCTTGCTTCATTGAGTCCTTCCACTGTCCCGTCTTCACTCTGACCTTCATGCATCGGCAGCCTGAGCGTAACGCCTGTGGGTCCTAATCGTTGTTTCCCTCTAGCAAAGTGTGAGTGTGTGTGTTCACTCACCCAGGGCAGTTTGGAGAATCTGCATATTACGGTATATCCCCAGTTTTTCCCTGCCACACTCAAAAACAAGGATGGCCATGTGGATCCTAGGGCTCAGCTGGAGGAGAGGGTTTTTTTCATTATGGAGATAATAAAGGACCCTCAGTGTTTTTCACTGGCCATTGAGTTATAACCTATGTACTTGCAGATCAAATGCCAGTGGCATAAAAATTGCCATGATTGTTAAAGAACTGAGCCCTAAACTTGTCCCCACTAATGACTACTTTTCCTGTAACTTCTGAGTTGAGTTCTGCATTCACCTTGGGAGGATAAAAGCCTCTTTCCAGATCAAGTGTATTAGCTAATTTAAACCTTGCAAAAATGCATTGCCAGTGAATGCCAGTAGCCTCCTGGCTACAAGCACAACAGAATTATGCTCTGAGGAGGGGGGCACTGGAAACCATCATGCAGAGTGGGCTCCCCACCACTCCCTCCCCAGCGGAAGACCCCAGCTGGAGGCATGGGTCACGAAACAACCTGGTTCTCCCAACTGCCAAATCGAATAAATGAGCTGCAACGCCCCATCTGTTTTGTTGAACTGGGCTCAGCATGCTTGTCCCCAAAATGTCCAGGTCACTGCACAGGAAATCAGTGTTCCCTGCTTGAACCCCTCCCTGCATTAAAAAATTCCGGTTAACACAGTCAAGTTAATGAGGATTGTTTACTGCAGGAAAGGAAGTGTACACATGGCAGGCTTCCGCGGTGCAGACAGAAAGGGCTACATTTTTGAGCACTGGGCTTGTGGTTCTTGAAGCACTCGGATGGCATGAAGAGGCCTCTACGACAACAGGAAAGTCAGTGCTTCCTTTAAAGTTCCTTCCAGAAAAGCCAGGATACCATTTAGCCTTCTGGTGTGACTGACATCGGGATACACAGAACATCTGGAACCTTGTGCAGCTAGCTAGGCATCTATCTCCATTTTGGTTTGGGCTTGTTAGGAAATGTTCTTAACGTGACTTCTTCCATAACAAAAGATAAACTAGCCGTTCTCTGAAATCTCGAACAGAAAAACTAGAGTCAGTGGGTAATAAGGTGCAAAAAGCAAATGGGTAGTGTCTCTCATGTCCTCTGGTCTCCTCGCTTCTCCCAATTCTGTTGTTTCCAAGCTGAGTGTCCTCTTCCGAGGTGAGGCTGGAACATATCTCTTTCCACCTCTCACCCTCTCCATCTGGTGATGACAGTCAACTCTATTTGGAGAAGTCTTGCTGGAAACGTTTATAAAACTTTTCACCTAATTTCTTTAATGCAAACACCTTTTTTTAAAGAATGGTTTCTCAGATGATTATGTAAAATAGATATGCTTTTGCAAGTTTAATAATTCAAATGAACTCTTTTGACTAGGTAGGTCTTTCTAAAACCTCTTTAAAGCAGACGTGGTGTCAGTGTTGTCCTGTGTGCCGAAGGGGCAGGCGGCCTTCCAGGCTGGGGCTCGCAGAGCCCCCTTTCTGCCTGTTCAGAAAGGCAACAGGACGATCAGCCCTTCTGCGTCCTCTGAAGCAAGCTTGGTCTTTGCAAACCGCCTCTTCTGTATTTCCAGTCACTGTTTAAGCTGCACTCCCTAGGCCAGCCTGGATTTTATTTGACTTTAAAAATTATTTTCTTTTGATAAACCGAGTGTTTATCAGGATGCCCTAAAGCTCACTCATTAGGACTCCCTTTTGAAGAATGTTCTGTCCAGAAAAAGAGATTATTTCAGGCTCGAGATTTGTAACGACACCATCTTCGAGTGGTGATGTGCATGAAGGGGACTACCCGACTACGTTGTAAGGAGAGAAATAGAAACTTTTACTTTGGCATTAAAAAAAAAAAATCACTGTCTTTCTATTTGCTGCCCAGGAAACAGCAGGGAGATGGTGACAGACACGCTTTGCATATGGATCTTTGTGTTTTTCATTGGGGCAAGTTTCACTGACGACAAACTCAAAAGGAAAGGGGGAGGTGGTCAGTCTAAGCTGAAAGAAACTTCCTAGACAATTTACGTGTATGCAGCAGAATTAGACAAATCCAACCTTTTCTGATGCTTAGTATAACTGAGTGGTGATTGTTATCATTAAATAAAATAAAAATTCCTCCCCAAAGTGTGTCTCCCAAGAGTGACAATGCCGTGAGTCACTTTTGGAGCCAGTTCAGCAAAGGCAGAGGAGACCGACTGTATACATGAACATGTGGAAAGGCAGTGAGCCACGTGGTGATTGTACCCGTGTATGTTTCTTTACCCCACATAAAAAAAGATTGTTGTTCTTTGGGGGTGTTAATTACAGACCCCTCAAGTCATAACGTGTGTGGTTTCTGTGAGTTGCAGACAATCCTACATTGAAGCTTTTGCAGTTCTTTCATTTTTCAGTTGGGTTTAATGAAGTTTTTTTTTCAAGTGTCGGAAGGCAGGCTGTTCTTCCTGCCTTCCTTCCCCTTCCAGAGTTATGAAAGCAAATATTTGGAATAAATGTTGAAAAGCTGTATCGTGTCCCCCGTGAAAGCGAGTGGGTGTCCGTCGGCATCCTGAGCGCCACGTGCCAGTGTGCAGAGGCTGGGGTGGCCCTTGGGCCCGCGTTGCTGTGCTGCTGACGCCCGACCTGCTCCACGCTCCTGTTGAGATCAGCTCTTGCCACCCCTCTGCCGCTGTCCTGCGTCGCTGTTGTCCCCACTACTCGGTGAATAAAGTGTGTGCTTTATTCGTAGCCGCCTTCACACCTTGTTTCCTTTCTTGTTCCCCTGCTCCTTTTAAAGGTCTATCTCA